GGCCCGGGCGGGCGTGAGCGCGGGGAGCGCGCTGCCTGCATGCTCGCAGCCCCAGCCCGGGGCGGCCGAGGCGGCTGCCAGACGCGAAGAGGAGCGCGGAGCCCGCCCGGGACGGCACGGTGGTGACTGTCTGGAGCCGAGCGCGTCGCTAAGACGAGGACCTGCCTGTTTTGAATCTCCCGGCGTCCTGTCGAGCCGCACGGGGGCTGGGCGTTTTCTAACCCAACTCGAGGATTCGAACGTGGCTCCGCTCCGAGCGCAGCGGCCGGTGACTCTCAGGACTCCAGCCCTGGCCGCGGCCGCCGCGCGCGCCCTCGCAGGACTCGGTGCGGTGGAGGATCGGGGGCTTTGGGGGGGGGGTCTCCGGAGAACCCGTTCGGGATTCGCTGTGAATCATGGAGGAGAATGACCCCAAGCCCAGCGAAGCGGCAGCGGCGACAGAGGGACAGCGGCAGCCGGACTCCAGCCCCGGCGGCGGCAGCCCCAGCGACTCAGACACCGGCCGCCGACGCGCGTTGATGCTGCCTGCTGTCCTGCAGGCGCCGGGCAACCACCAGCACCCTCACCGAATCACCAACTTCTTCATCGACAACATCCTGCGGCCCGAGTTCGGTCGGCGGAAGGACGCAGGGACGTGCTGCGCGGGCGCCGGCGGAGGACGAGGCTGCGCGGCTGGCGGCGAAGGCGGCGCGGGCGGAGCCGAGGGAGGAGGCGCGGGCGGCGCTGAGCAGCTTCTGGGGCCGGGCTCCAGGGAGGCCAGGCAAAACCCGCCGTGCGCGCCCGGTGCGGGAGGGCCATTACCCGCCGGCGGCGGTGACTCTCCGGGCGACGGGGAAGGTGGCTCCAAGACGCTTTCGCTGCACAGTGGTGCCAAGAAAGGCAGCGACCCCGGGGGCCCCCTGGACGGGGCACTCAAGGCCCGCGGCTTGGGCGGCGGCGACCTGTCTGTGAGCTCGGACTCGGACAGCTCGCAGGCCAGCGCCACCCTGGGCGCGCAGCCCATGCTCTGGCCGGCCTGGGTCTACTGCACGCGCTACTCAGACCGGCCTTCTTCAGGTGAGCCCGGAGAACCCGGCAGCCCGGGAGGTTCGGGGGGCTGGGAGTGGCACTGTTGGGGGACTGGTGGGGAGGAAAAAGATGGCACGCGTCCTCCTCCACAAACACACACAAAGACGTACACTCGGCACATATGCAGCGACACTACCATGGGCAGCTGACACTGGCAGGGGTAGTGGCAGGCGGCACAGGGCAGGGCGGATTGGGAAAAGGCACAGATTCCCTTGGGACCGCAGAAGCCAAATTCATATTCTCATATTCTTACATATTTTCCTACCTCCTCCCCCCAAACTTCTTACCCACCCCCCTCTCCTGACGGTAGTTTATTTGGCAAGAACAGAAGTGGCTAGAAAACAGGCCCAGAAAGGCACACTGAACTCCTTCCCCATTTTCCAGCTCAGACCAGATTGGGGTGCACCCCCAGGCCCAGAGTCCCAGGACCTGCTTACCCAAGATGTGGTCTAAGAAAGAGGAGAAAGGCCTGTTTTTCCGGACCCCTCCTCCCTTAGGCCTAGGCTTGGGGAGGGGACTGCAGAGGGGAGGATGAAACAGAGGGCCCGCACCCTTTGCCGACTTTATTTGCCGAAGCTGCACACAGTCTGTAAAAGGTCACAATTGTCGTGGGACAGGAGTTCCCCAGATAGAAAGGTCCTTTCCAAGGGTGCCGAGGGAGGGGAAGGGGCAGCTTTCAGAGGCAGGGTGCGAGGCTCTGGGTGTTTTTTAAAAAAAATCCGTCAATGATTTTACGGAGTTAAGTCCACCATGACCTTGTAGACATCATCACCTGCACTAGGCGAGGGTCTGCGGCTGGCAAGCGCCATTAGGAGTGAGCTCTGTTGGTCCCCAAGCTGGCAGGGGACCTCCTCTGTCCCCCAACCCTCAACTAATTTGCTGGGTCCTTGATCCACATCACAGCAGGACCAAGGCAACCCCGGGGCTGCTTTCTCAAAGAAATGTGGCTCTGGGTGCATTTCTGGTGAAATCCAAATTTCTCCAGCTAGACCTGAAATTTGTGCCATTGTTCTCAGCTTCCTCCTTTGTTAATATTTAATTAACATATAGGCTCACAAGGCGCTGGCCGGAGCCGCACTGGGCTTTGTAGGCGTCAGACTGCCCCGCGCTCTCTCCCGCTCGGCTCGCTCGGAGTCCAGTGGCCCAGGCTCGGGGAGCCCTGCTGCTTGACCGGGTCTGGCCGAGTCGCGGTCCCTGCTGGGTTTAAACACTCCTACACCGCGTAAGTAACGTTTCTGTCCCTGGACACTTAGGAAGAAAGGGACAGAGAGGGTTTTCGCGGAGGTTTGGGTCTGTGTCCGAAATGATGATTCTTTTTCCATAAAATAGCGTCTTTTTGAAGCTGGTTAGTGTGTTCATGAACAGGAACCAGGACAGAGGAGTTGAGGGCAGGGAGATCGCTTGTGGGGTGGGCGGCAGTGGAGACCCAGAGCCGGAGCCGAGAGCCTCGCCGAGCTCAGGCCGCGGTCCGCGGTCGGGTCGACCAAGTGCTGGCGCGTGGGCCTCTCCCGCGGCTCCACTTCCATCTCCTGTCCTTTCATGGGTCCCTGCCGGCTGAACCACACCCCCCACCCCAGCAAGGCCAGTCCCAGGAGGTGGTGCGCGCCCCAGCGCGGCAGTGTGGTGCGTGGGCGTGAACGTGGGTGCGCCTTACAACTAAGGGAGGAAGCGTTGGGGCCGAGCTGCCCCTGACGCTCTCCTCATGCCTCCCTCGTGCCTCCAGCCCCGCTGCCCGGTTATCGGCCACGGAACGCAGCAGAGCTAGCCTTGGGGAGCCTTCCACGCTGCCCTTGGCCTGCGGCCTGCCCCCTCGCTGAGCGCGCTGGCCGTCTGGCCACCCTCGTGGCCTGGGTGGGCTGCACCCCAGCTGCCCGCACTTAGCCGGTTGGCCCAGGGCCTGCGCTCTCCGGCCGGCGTCTTAGCCTCTTCTGCTTCCAGCGAAAGAGGACCAGAGGAAGCCTCGGCGGCCAGCGCCCCGGAGTTGGGAGTTGGTCCTGCACCTCACCTCACCTCACCTCACCGCCTTAGCTCTTTCTCTCTGCCCTTGTCACTCTTACTGTTTTCTGTGTCCGGCCCGAGACCTTAAGATACCCACCACCATGGCCAAATTCAGGGTCAGCGAGGCACCTTCTGGGCAAGGAAGGGGTGGAGTCCGAAGTGTGGACCTGCCCAAGGTCAGCTGGACTGCCTTCGGCCTGGGGAGGTGAGGCGTGGACAGGGCCCTGTGGTCAGCAACCGTGCAAGGCCCAGGCCCCTCCTGGACAGAGGACTGGTGGGTGCAGGGGAGCTGCCCAGGGCTCAGCTTCCCTACCAGGAAGGGTAGTTCTGCTGTAACCTATTCTTCAAGGGGACAATGAACTTGGGTCCTTGGGGCAGCTGGAGGCGTGTAGGGGCTGGGCTGTCCAGACCCTGTGGGGCCATCCAGTTCCCGGAACCCTCCTGTTCTTGGCACCCTATGGGGTGCTCCCTGGGGGCCCTCTGGGAACCAAGGCTCCTCCTAATTGCCTGACTGCTTCCCCCTTATCCAATTTGACCCCTTTAGCTCTCTCCCAGCCCCTACCGTACACAGAATTCCAGAGAGAGAGAGAAAGAGAGAAAGAGAAGAGAGAGAACAGAAGGGAGAAACAGAAAAGAAAAAAGCCAAATAGGCCAGAAAGTTTTCTCCCCTCTCCTCGTGGAGATTTGCGTTTATGTAGAGCCCTCTGGTCCCCATGGCCTTCCTGCCCAGCCTGCCCTGTGTTTTCACATGGAGGCACGAGGAGGGGGCAGCTTCGGTCATCCTGCCATCCAGCCCTCCGTGGCTGAGTGCTGGTTCCTTCTGTCGCAGTCTCTGCGACCTTCTTGCTGGAGGCAGGGACTGGTAACTGCTGCTGGGAAGGAGGTGCCTTGCAGCAGCAGTTGGTAACCTGTCCTCTCCCATCCTCCTCCCCGCCAGGTCCCAGGTCCCGAAAACCAAAGAAGAAGAACCCCAACAAAGAGGACAAGCGGCCTCGCACAGCCTTCACCGCCGAACAGCTGCAGAGGCTGAAAGCGGAGTTCCAGACCAACAGGTACCTGACGGAGCAGCGGCGCCAGAGCCTGGCCCAGGAGCTCAGCCTCAACGAGTCCCAGATCAAGATCTGGTTCCAGAACAAGCGCGCCAAGATCAAGAAGGCCACGGGCAACAAGAACACGCTGGCCGTGCACCTCATGGCCCAGGGCCTGTACAACCACTCCACCACGGCGAAGGAGGGCAAGTCGGACAGCGAGTAGAGTAGGAGGGGTGGCGAGGCCTGTGGGCTGGCCAAACAATGCAATAATTTAAAATCATAAAGGGCCAGTGTATAAAGGTGATACCAGCATTAACCGTGACAATATTGTGTATTAGCTATGGTTCTGCAATATTCTATGTATATAGAACTTACAGGTGTTGTAAAATCCAAAATATTGGACTATAAAATATTTTTTTGCTTTTTTTGTGTTTAGGAGATTATGCTAATTTTATGATTTTTTGTTGTTGTTGTTGTTGTTTTGCAAAAGGGGCTGCTTAGGGTCTCATCTTTCTTAATCCCCTAAGCTCCATTATGGGACATTGGACATTTGTTATTATTATTATTTCAAAAGAAAAAAATTAAAACAACTTGCTAAAGTCCAAAGATTTTTATTGCTGCATCTCACACGACTGTGAACAGAATAAATAGCTCCTATCTGGTCTATGAGTTTTGCCACTTTGTTTGTGTTGGCTTGGATGGGACAGCAGAGTCCCAAACCCAGAGCCTGGAGCCTGGGCCTTCAGGAGCTCGGAGGCCCTGGCACCAATAGGGGACTCTTGAAGGGTCCTTGGCTGAGTTCTGGTCTCAGCCTGGGAAGCCGCCTCTCAGTGATAACAGGGCCTGTCTTGGGAAGTGGGCCTCTTGCCGCCCTCTGGCCCAGCTCTGTAGCCTCCCCAGCCCCTCTCCTCTCCTTTCACCTCCTGCTGTCCCATCCCTCAGCCTCCTCTAGGCCTGGTCCATGCTTCCCTTACGTACTTCTGTCCACGTCTGTGTTGCTGTGCCCTGTTCCTGATGACCTGCCAGAGCCAGCTCTCCTGTGGAGGCACTGGAGTGAAGGGCTAGGGTGTGTAGCCCAAGACTGGGGCATCCCTCCTCCTCCAGGCCGCAGCTAGCTGGCCCAGAAACCCAACAAGGTCTTTGCCAAAGGATGGGCAGAAGGAGTTGGCATTATGTTCCTTTCCTTTTCCTTTTTTCTTTTTTTTCCCCCTTTTCATTTTTTCTAGAGTGGCCACTTTTGCTGTTCTTCTCAGATAAATATATGTGTGTACATATTTGTTTAAGCTTTTGCACATACATGCCAGGTGTGCATCAGGCCACAGTTCTGGAACTTGTGGCTACCTTGACTCTCAAAGAAACTCAGACCCCTTCGGTATCTAGAAAGAAGAAAAAGTGTAAAAAATTATTTCTTATCACTTTTTGTCTTTTCTTGTTTTTTTAAGAAAATGTACATTTTATTTTTCAAAGGTGTGGTACAGTGTAAATTAAATATATTCAATATATTCCCCACCAAGTACATATATATATATATATATATATATATATATATATGAACAAACACATTATATATAACACCACATTGTCTTCTGTTTAGTGTCCATAAAAGGTGTCCAAATGTTCATCAAGGCCAGAATTGGGCTGCCCAGGGAATTTGCCCACGGCCCAGCTGAGCACTGCGGGCGGCAGCGGACTTCTCTCTTTGCCTTAAAGTCTTTATTTCACTTCGATAATAGTTTCACTTTGTACATAACAGTGTCAACCTTTTTGAAAAGGAAACTATAAAAACAAACGTTGTAATTTAAAAGTGTGTGAATAACCATCTGCTGCTTAGGAAACTCAATGAAATGACAGGCCTTTTTAGCAGGAAGCAAATTTCTTCTTTTTTTTTTAGTTTAGTTTATAAAACGTGCGTTTTACAGTTGGAGTATCAAATATTTATAATCTTATGAGAAATGAATGTTTCTATTTACAACTGTGGTTATCAAAATTGTGAACATTCCAACCCCCACCCCCACCCCATGCGCATTTTTGTGTGTTTAACTTCTTTGAAAGTTACAATAAATAAAAAGAAACTCCTCTTTATTACAAAGTATCAGAGGTCCAGGTGAAATGACTAGTTGTCCTGTTTCTGAGGCCTGCTGATGCCTGGGCCACCCTCTCACAGGTTTGGGCTCCTGACCTTGTGCTCCCAGAAGGGAGGCTACCTAAGCTTGTAACAAGAAGTAGATTCTTATTTTTTTAAGTAATACATTTTTAATATCTCGCATGTGAGCACAGAACCACCAAAATAATTTATGTCCACATTTTGTCACCAGAAGGAATTGTTCTCGACTATACAGAGCTGCTCATGGACTGAATTTTTCGATCTTGAAGAGTTCAACAGGTCTCTTCTAGAGCTCGGCTGCCAGCTCTGCTCATGCGCGCTGGACTGCAGCACTCTCCAGGGAGGAAGAACTTCTGCTCCTGGAGAGCTGAGACCCAGGGACTCTCCTCTTTTCTGTGTCATCTTCCTTCACCTTTGTTGTTTTTACTCCTCAAAGTAAAAGCTGTTGTATAGCATTTCAAATAAAATTCAGAAGAGTCAGGGGAGCTCAGGGAGCGCCATCCAAGGTGCACAAAGCCCATTGCAGTATTTCCAAACCTGATCAGGCTGGAAGAAAGAAAAAGCTCTCTCAGTAAAGGAACCTTGGAGACCCTGAGGATCATCTACTGCCAAGGGCGACCTTTTAGGCCTTTTCTTTGCGACCTTAGGTGGGGCCTGGGGGCAGGATTCGACCTTGGGGTGCTGGAGGGGCCGGGGGGGGGGGCGCTCACCGACTGGAGCAGGCTGGGGTCATCCCAGACACCTCAGGGTCACACAGGCCGATGGAGACCTCGACTTCGGCACACCTGTGACTTCTCAGCTCTTAGGTTCAAAACGAGGCAAAGCAAAACAAAAATACGAGCGCAACTTCTATCACTCCGTTGGCTTCTCTCATTTTAATAAAAAGAATAGCGCATCGACCTCAGGCAGTCTTCTCATACATCCGCTCTCAGATCAGCACTGGTGAGGGCCATGTACAGCACTGGAGGTAATGAGCTCCCGGTCCCCAGAGGCGTTCGAGCAGACTGGCTCCCAGCGCCAGGGGACAGGCTTGCTTTTGTGGCTCCGATGCGGGACGGAACTGAGTGCGGAGAGATCCTTTGGCCTTTCTGTCTGTTCCCTCGTACTCAGCCCGTCACCCAAGCCCACTTTCAGCACGGAGAGCGGAGACTCGAATTGGGTCTTGGCCTCCGAAGCCCTGCGCGGAGCTGGACAGACCTGGACAGACTGCGCACCGGGCGTCAGCGGAGTTAGGAGCCCGGCCGCTGGAGCCAGCCAGTTGGTCGCTCCGCAGCAGGCGGGTTTCTCAAGCGTTCCACAGAGGGAAGCTGCTTTATAAAGAGCCTAAGTTCTTGCTCCTTGGAGCTGAGTGACCTCCTCCCCCAACTGGCTGCGTCTCCGCCCGGCTCTGGTGGAGCTGAGTCCGGCGAAGCCCTGCGCCCGCATTGAGCGGCAGAGACAGGCGAGGCTGCCTGGGGCCCGTCCCGCCCCGGGCCCAGAGGCGCGTTCTTCTCCCTCTGCCCCCGGCTCTGCCAGCGGAGTGGGCCCGCAGCCTGCAGTCCTGGTCTGAGGGGCGGTCCCCAGAGCGGACCTGCCGCGCCCTTTCCCCCTGGGAGAAGAGGGAGGGGAGTGGAGCGGATGACCCAGCGTGATCACCAAGAGGACCCCGGCTTTCTCCTTGAGCGACCTGGTGTAATCCACAGGGGCTCCAGGCTGCTGGGCACAGGTGTGCCCGGCAAACACCCAGACACTATATATGCAAATACTCGGGCTCTGCGAAAAGTCATTCTGTCTCCCGCTGCTTTAATATCCGACCTTGGCGGCCTGCGCTCCTCTGCAGCTTCCGAGCGCCCCTAGGGTCCCGGCTCCGCCGAAAACTGCAGCCTGCCTGGTGGAGCTGCCGTGCGCGGGGAGGCTGAGAGCGACTCGCCACTCAGACGCGCCGCCAGACTCAGCAGAAATCGCCAATGGGGACACTGGGCTGCCCACGTCGACGCTTCCATACTCCTTAGCCCCCTTGCAGAACCCTTTTCCGCGACCTCAGTCCCATCCCAGGGAGGGCTGGGCCCTCTCTAGGCCTCGCTGTGGGAACAGGCAGCCACCAGCGGGCACAGCGTGAGTCCCCGGGACTTCAGAGGGGCTGGCAGGCCCGGCTGCAGGAGAGGAGCGCTGTGCACGCCTGGGAGCCACGCGCCTCGAACCCCAAATAGACCGTTCACGTTTTTATTAATAACCTCAAATACCTCATTCTACTTATTTTGCCCTCCCATGGAAAAGAAAAGGCCGTTCTTGAAATCGCCTGCAATGTAATACTATTCATTAAAGTGACTCCTAATTAGGCGATTTAATCAAGCGAGGTGGTGCGGTCCTGGCTTTCCAGGTAGAGGTAGAGGACGGTGTTGGTGGTGGTGGTGGTGGTGGTGCTGGTCCCGCGCTAGCCTCCTGGGTGACAGGCAGCTCTTCAGTTTGGCCTCAGTCCCTTCAGAGGGGTTTAGGGGTAACCCTGTGCTGGGGCGAGGCTTCCCCAGAGCGGCCATGTCTTGAGTCTCCGGGACGGGACGAGGAGGCAGGCCGGCACCCCTTCTGCAGCCCCAGCCCCAGCCCCAGAGAGCCCTCGCCGTGGGAAGAATTCCCCTGGCCCGGAGCCCTCAGTGTCCCAGGGGAGGTGCTCTGGGAAGGCGGAACTCTGGGTCCAGAGCCCAGGGCCCGCCCCGCAGGCCAAGCCACCTCCCTCTAGGCGAGCCCGCTGCTGAAGCGGAAACAAAGGGCCTCGGACAGCAGCTTCCCGGCTGCCCTCTCACCCATCGGCCCGGAAAGCGCCGGGGAAGCCCTGGCTGCCTGCCCAGACCGCGACCCGGAGGGAAAGGGCCCGGTGCCCGAGGGCCTCCCAGCACTTTCACTTCCGCAGAGGCGCTGGCGGTGACACCCAGGAGGGCCCGGCCCAGCCCGGGGCTCTCCCAGCGCGGGAGGGTGAGGAGACCTGTTTGCAGGGGCCGTGGGAGGCCCAGGCGGGCCCTGCTGCACCCGTCTGCCCAGGGCGTGTTTGGTGTCCTCACCTCTCGCCAGCCCTTTGTCTGGAAGGGACAGTCGGCCGCCTCGCAGCTTGCCCTCCTCTTTTCCCAGCCTCAGCCCCTCCACCAACTTCCCTTTCTTCTCTCCCCTTTCTCTGCTCTCTGGATGGGTAATCACAGGCCCCAGCTGCCCAGCACACAGCCGCAGCCGCCGCTGGCTGCCAGCGCCCCGACTTGGCCAGGAAGTCCGGGCCCTGCTGCAGCCCTCATGGGTTTTGACAGCTTTGCTTTCCCGCTTGCAAGAACAATAAGAGAGTGATCCTGAAAGCTGTTGTTTGGGACTAAGGGAACCAGCGGACTGGCCACCCTTTGCGGAATTCTGTTCCTCCCATGGCTCAAACTATTGCTACAGTTCCCAATTTTTTACTGTGGTAAAATACACGTAGCAAAATTCACCACCTTAACTATTTTTAAGTGCACACTTCAAGGATGTTAAATACCCTTATAATGCCGTACCACTCATCAGAATTCCTGTCATCTTGTAACACTGAAACTCTGACCCTACCAAATAAACACTGGCCCACTTCCCCTACTGCCCAGCTCCTAGCAATGCCCTCCTACCCTGTCTCCACAATTGTGACTGCTGTGTGAAGTACCTCCTAGAGTACCATTATCATATTACTGCAAGGGAAGATCCCCCATATGCCTTCTCATGATGACCCAGAAGCCTGCTGCTAAGGCTTAGAGTGCTTTCCAGATGAAAACTGGGTAACTCCCATCATCCAAATGGATGATGGATATGATCGCTGCCCAATATCCATTTGTTTAGGGAAAGATTGGAGCCTGCAAAAACACCCTTTGGCTGAGCTCATTTTCAGACATCCAGACTCTTGCTGTCTTCTACGGTGGCTTACAGACAGTTTGGGTTCCAGGTATTTCATGCAAATATTTCTATAACATCCCTCAGCATCAAAAGAAATATAGTTCGGTGGAAACTGCAGGGGTTTTCTTGGTTTTTTTGGACAAGACAAGGTGGGGGGGGTGGTTCCTGCCATTGAACCCTTTTTAGGGTCCAGTCCTTTTTATATTTTATTTTGAGACAGGGTCTGTCTTAAATTGCTCAGGCTGAGCTCAAACTTGAATCCCCTGCCTGAGGCTCTGAAGTCTCTGGAACTGCAGGCACGCGCCACCCCACCCAGCAGGAAAAACACAGTTTTGCAGCAGACAGCCCTGTGTTCTTACCGCAGCCGCACAGTGCACTCACACAGGAACTGAGTGTGTTGCTGACTCCCAGGGCACTGAGCCATTCTCCTCCCAAACAGAAGGAACATCTACCTAATGGGTTTCCTGCAAGGTCCTTTTGTGAGGCAGGAGCACAAAATGCCTGGGCTGAATGTGGCTGGGCCAGTGGAAGGCTGAGTTCCCTTTGCAGAAACCTCTGGGCCAGGAGGCAGCTGTGCCCCCCAGCATAGGTGCTGCACCAACCTGCGCCTCTGGCTTCCACCTACCAGTGAGATGTCTCTACAGCCGACCAGGAAAAGCTAGAGAGGACACAGGGCTTGCCAGAGGCAGCTTCTGGCAACAGAAACCAGGACACCAGGAGGTGATGGAGAAAGGAAACCACACTGCCAGCAGAAGCTGGGACTGTGTAGCACTTTCCAGATTGTGGAGCACTGTGTGACACTGCCTCCCCAACTCTTCCAAAACTGCTATTATGTGCTTTGTTATTGTGGGGTGCAAACATATGCATCCATCTTTACTTTAGGATGTTTTTATTTTTATTTTATTTTATATATATATATATTTTTTGGTACCGGGGATCGAACTCGGGTCCTTGCGTTTGAGCAGCAGGCAATGAAACCACTGAGCGAAATCCCCGGCCCTATGTTTTTTGGGGGGTTTTTTTGTACCGGGAATCAAATTCGGGTCCTTGCGCTTGCACAGCAGGCAGCGAAACCACTGAGCTAAATCCCCGGACCTACCGGCCC